CGAACCTAATGCTTTACTCAACACGCAGGCAGCACAACTGAGGCTTTGTATCACTTCAAAGCAACCCTGTTCAGATATCTACATGTAGACACAGGATGAAACAAAAATAGGCCCATCTCAGCCTGTCCCCAGTACACACGTGCATGCTTTCTGTTGATGGCACTTAAACCTTCACACTTAAACCCTGGACCAGTAGTTCCCAACCCAGATCCAACTCCCAAATCTCCTAGGCTAAAGGAACAGAGGGCATTCCCCTAGCTATGTTTCATATTTCAGATGGTGAGTTAAAAATGTTACATTTGCCCAACCCAGGAAAATGGAGGTTAGTAAAAAACAAAGGTCTGAGTTTGTGGCTAAAATTACGTCACCTCCAAGTAGAACACTGGTTATCTCATGTTTATCAAAAACTGAGGCCAGAAACTATGTTTCAAGGATTATTTAGATGGGACATCAAATGAACTGCCCCTTAAGAAGCGCAGTTTGTTCAGAACACAGAATTGTCTAAAACATGTTATCTTCCGAAGGAGAAACAAATGAGAGTATTCAGCACTGAAATGTGTGAAAGCACTGTCTTAGAATGCACAAAAACCTTTTTGAAGAAGAAAAGGTATCTTTTGATAGGAGGTATTATCTAACACAGACACAAGTTAATTTTTAAAATTAACTCAAAAATGTAAGTAAAAATGGCAGTGCCCAAAACAAACACTGCAAACCTTTGTACAGATGAAAAAGTGTATTAAGCATGCACATATAAAAACTGGATTTCACCGTGGCCTGCAGCAGACCAGCTTAATACCAGAAAGTATAGATTCTAGAAATAACCCCAAGATGTAAGCAGAGGTGGGAAATCCAAGTGACTGGGCTACCTGGTGATTCTGCAAACATTAAGCATCCCCTTTGTCATCTACCCACCACCAGCTACACACAGAGGCATGAGTGGCTGAAACAAGGGCTGGAACAGCTGTTAGGCACGCAGGCTAGTGCAGTGGTCACACGCACAGACTCAGGGGCCGGACTGCTGGGTGGAAAGCCCAGCCCTCCCACTCACTGGCTTGGTAACTTTAAGAAAGGTTTCTGAGCCTCAGCGCATGTACAGGAAGAGCCTGGCCTTTCGTTAGCACCCACAACGTTAGTATTCGCAGCACTGGTGGTGGTGGTGGCCCTGTGAAAAGGCATGCCCGCCACATGGCTCTGACCCCTCCCCGCTCTCTCCCCTCCAGCACACATTCCTCTCGTAATCTGTCCTCTTCCCCCCTTCAGCACATCTTCTTTCCTCTCCTGGGGCATTTCAGGCTCATCTACAGGTCACAAACACAGGGGCCTGGGACAAGATCAAAGGGCTCCTGATCCCTGAGAGGAGACAGATTCTCACAACTTGATTTCTCTGAAAACAACTGCAGTGAAGATCCCGATGCCTCAGAAAGTAAATCCCTCCACTGCCTGTTTAAGCTTGAAAGTAACACCTTCAGGACCGCAAAGAAAATCATCCGGTGGTCGATTCAAGCTCATTTGGAATGTTAAAGGGGCCCTATTGATCATGGCACCTCCAAGCAGGGAAAGGCTTTTGCAGACCATTTATACACCCACACACCCAGCCCATCTGCCAGGAGATGGTCACAGAAGGCCTGGAGCAGCTGGGGACTGCACAAAAGGAGGACGGCTACTCCGCTCCAGCCAACTGCCTTCAGAACTGGAATTGCCAGGGGTCCTGAGTGTACGAGAAAAGCTGGAAGTTCAGATACATATGTGAGGGCCAGCAAAACACATCTGCAGGACGTAAATGGCCCCAAAGCTACCAGGTTCCACCCCTTGAGCTGGACAGAGCCCCACCCGCCATCCTCGGACCCCTGGAGATCACAGACCCACTGCACAATAGTCACCAAATCCAATGGCAAGGATTGGGCAAGGGCCCCAACCAGTCATTGTTCATCGACTAAATCAATAACGTGCCTTACTTTTTTTCCTAATGCAAAAGGACTCTGTGATATTAACAAAAACAAATGTTAGCCCTGGCTGGTGTGGCTCAGTGGATAGAGAATTGGCCCGCACCCCGAAGGGTCTCAGATTAAATTCCTGGTCAAGGGCATGTACCTGGGTTGCAGGTTCAATCCCCGGCCCCAGTCCAGGCGTGTGTGGGAGGAAACCAGTCGGATGTGTCTCTCTCACATCTATGTTTCTCTCTCTCCCCATCCCTCCATCCCTTCCACTCTCTCTAAAAATCAATGAAGCCCAGCCGGTGGGGCTTGTGATTGAGCATCGACCTATGAACCATAAGGTCACAGTTCGATTCCAGTCAGGGCACATGCCCAGGTTGTAGGCTCGATCCCCAGTAGGGGGCGTGCAGGAGGTATCCAATCAATGATTCTCTCTCTCCCTCTCTCCTCCTCTCTGAAATCAATAAAAATATATTTAAAAATAAAATAAAACAAAAAAATCAATGAAAAAAAAATCCTCGAGTGAGGATTAACAAAAAACAAAACAAATTTTATTTAATTCTGCACTTGATGGCTGAGCCTGGAAGCTCCTGTGACGTGCCATGGTCCCTTGGCCCCTCGCAGGCCAGCAGAGGAAGCCAGGCTCCCAAGTCCCAATCAAGTCTCCTCCTCCACCAGGGAGGGTGGACCCTGCCCCAAGAGTGGCCCAGGAGACTGCCTGGGTGAAACCCAGGATAAATGTGATCAAAACAAAATTCTGAACCAAAATTCACCATCACCTCTTCAAAGTTTCACAAGGGCTGAGAGGTGGCAGCATGGATACCTGCTACCCCGGCCCCACACCAGAACCATCTCCTCAGCTGCATTCCAGATGCGGGTCTTCCCATCTCAGGTGGAGAAGGGACTCACTATCTTGCAAGGCCGGATGACAGTGCAAGTGGAGAACTTGTCTTCCTGCCCCACAACACTCTGATCTCCTGGCCTAGCCATTCGAATGTCTACACCCCTCTCAACCTTCCTCATGACCTACTTCCTTCTCCCCATCCCCCAAACACTGCCTCTGTATGTTCATATGTCCCCTGCATAATCTCCCTTCCATTGGCTCCATTTCCCCAACTAACTGGCTTCATTACAAAAAAAAAAAAAGAGTTGTTTCACTTTCCATTCTTACTTCAGTCTGCAGGCATTAGCTAAGATGACAGATGTAAGATGAGAGCACAGAGTCAAACACTTGAGAAGCAGAATTGGAAGGACCTGCCCACTCAGTCAAAACAGGGCACTCTGAGGGCAGAGCAGGTGCTGGGAAGTGGGGCATGCATTCCATCCAGGACATCTGCACCGCGGAGCCAAGGCCACAGATACAGCCGCATACATTGCGCACTGCGGGACTCCAAGGGCAGTAACAGACCAGGGTGCGAGTGGCGCCCTCTGGCGTGTGTAACAGAGAGCCCAGAGAGGCATCAGTGGCTCATCCTACAGGTACGTGGAAATCTTTCAATTACTCTATCAATTAAGAGTGACTACATAGTTGCCCTGGCTGGTTTGGCTCAGTGGATAGAGCGTTGGCCTGCAGACTCAAGGGCACATGCCCAGGTTGTGGGCTCATTCCCCCGTTGGGGGCATGCAGGAGGAAGCCAGTCAATGATTCTCTCTCATCACTGATGTTTCTATCTCTCTCTCCCTCTCCCTTCCTCTCTGAAATCAATAAAAAAAAATTTTTTTTTTTTAAAGAGTGACTACAAGACTTGAGTGTGCTTACAAACCCCCTGGCAGCTTACTGAAAATGAGGACTGCCCAGTCCTCCCCAGAAATTCAGAATCCTCAGCTCTAAGGGGGCCTAGGAATGTGCATGTTGTTGTTTTCAACAACCAGCCTCTCCACAAACCCTAGCAAACAAAGTTGAGGCTTAGTGGAAGAAAGACTCCATAAGGGCCAAGATTGTGATACCAAAAGGAAATGTTTCTATTTTATAAAGTTTACCAGTGGCCCGGTGCATGAAATTTGTGCACATTAAAAGGGGATTAATTAGAGGAAATATTTTAATATTGCTATTTGCCCTTTCTCTATAATAGAAGTGTCAGAGGTGAAAGAAAATTAGTAAAATGTATATGAAAATCTTCCTCCTGTCAGAGTCTGGGGTGCACCACAAAACCCAGAGTCAAATCCCTGCCCACCCACATGCGCCTTGAAATCATGCAAGACCCAGACCCCCATTGGGCTAGATCCAGACCCGGCCAGTCCCACCCTTGTCAAGCCCCGCTGGGCGGGGGACATAGCCTCAGGTCCCCTGGCCCAGCATTGGGGCGGGGGGCGTGGCCTGAGATCCCCCATCAAGCCCCACAGGGGCGGGGGCGGGGGGGGGGCACAGCCTCAGGTCGCTGCTGATTGCTCGTTAAGGCTCGTTACGGGAACTTGGCCTCTGCTGTGGGCGCCGCCATCTTGTGTGAGTGATGGTCAAATTTGCATATTCACTTTATTATATAGGATTCCCTTCCATCTCAGCTGTATTTTATGAAGAATATTGTTTCTGGCCCTGGCCCGCTTGACTCAGGGTTAGAGTGTCAGCCCAGAGACCAAAGGGTTGGGGGTTCAATTCCCAGTCAAGGGCATGTACCTTGGTTGCAGGTTCGATACCCGGCCCCAGTTGGGGCACATGCAAGAGGCAACCAATTGATGTGTCTCTCTCACATCGATATTTCTTTCTTTCTCTCTCTCTCTCTCTCTCTCTCTCTCTCTCTCTCTCTTCTCCCCACTCCCTCCCTTTTACTTTCTCTAAAAGTCAATGCAAAAATCCTCGGGTGAGGATAAAAAAAGAATATTGTTTCTGTAGACCATTAATGATGGTACTCACATGAAATCCATGAAGCAGCTGCCACTAGAAACCCCACCCTGCCTGGTCCTGTTTAAGAGCATGCAGACAGTTGCCCTAGACTCTGAAATGAAATAGCTGTTCTGACAGTGTGTTAAGTTTACGCCACCATTTGCCAAGTCATAGGAAGTCCACATCCTAGCTGGTAAACGCACCTCCTCCCTACATACCAGCATGGCAGCCACGCAGACACATACCTTATGCTCCTCCTTCATCACCTGTTCGATGAGTTCGGATTTCACTGGAGGCTTGGAATACTGGCCTGAGAGAAGGCCATGTCCTAACTTAGTCCTGGACGGGAGGGAGGAACAAAACAAAAGGTCATTGTTGTTTCCCTTCAGAGATGTTACAATTATCTGCGAATTTCAGTAAGGGCAGCTACATTCAGGCCAACTGCTTTATCTCCATTCCTCACAAATAACTTATTCATTCGATTCTACTTGATACTGATTCCATTTTCAAATTTTCCTCAGTACTTCATAGATCATTTTTATTAATTTCTTTCTTCTTGTAAAAGTAACATGTGCTCATTTTAGAACACTTTTAAAAATATATAAAATAGCCCACCTGGCATGGCTCAGTGGTTGAGCATTGACTTATGAACCAGAAGATTATGGTTTGGTTCCCGGTCAGGGCACATGCCTGCATTGTGGGATCGATCCCCAGTAGGGGGTGTGTAGGAGGCAGCCAATCAATGATTCTCATCATTGATGTTTCTATCTCTCTCCCTCTCCTTTCCTCTCTGAAATCAATAAAACACATATTTTAAAAAAAATACATAAAACAAAGAGAACTGCCTTTAATTCTGCAAATAGAACTACTACGAACACTTTATTGGAGACTTTTCTTAAAAACTATAATGAGGCACTTACATCTGTGTGTTGAAATCTTGTGTTGGATCTAAAGGAGAATAGTCAAATATTCTGGGAAGATTTCCTACATACCTAGGAAATGAGAAGCGACAGTCAAAACATAGAACGGAGCCATGAACTGAACCAAAATAAGCCGTCATCCTGCTGAAGACCTCACCATTCAGTCAAAATTAAATCATCCACCTGAAGAAAAGTGTTTCCTGAGTGCATGCAGCCATATGCATGGACCTCCCTAAACTGTGTGTGCTCCCATCAGTGCATCTCAACCCTGGGTGTGAGTTAGAATCCCAAAGAGTTTCTTTAAAAATGCAAGGTTCTGCCCGGTCGGTGTGGCTCAGTGGTTGAGCATCGATCTATGAACCAGGAGGTCTCGGTTCGATTCCCAGTCAGGGCACGTAACCCGGTTGCAGGCTCGATCCCCAGTGTGGGGAGTGCAGAGAATCAATCAATGATTCTCTCTCATCATTAATGTTTCCATCTCTCTCTTCCTCTCTGAAATCAATAAAAATATATTTAAAAAAAAAAATACAAGGTTCTGAGTTCACTGTCTGAGACTGAGGTCTGGGATTTGGAATCTTTTACAAGTTCCCCAAGCAATTCTAACACGTGGCCGGAGTCAGGAACCACCAGTTTATGCCATCGCAGCTGCCGTCTCAAATACCAATAAGGTTAGGAATCGCTCCGGTCGTGCCAAAATGACTAATATGATAATGTCGGTGACAACGATCATTTCCTGAGGGTTTCCTATGTTACCTGGTTGGGTCTTCACTACAACCATATGAGGAAGTGATTAGTATCAGTACCCCATTTGAGAGATGAGAAACTGGGGTGCAAATCCATTAGGTCCCCCAGGGAGGGAATGATGGAGCCCAGCATGGACCCAGGCTGCCTGGCTCAAGCTGTGCCCTGAACCACCCTTCCAACTGTGCCTGCCCGTCCACGGACCCTGTAGCATCCACAGCCCCTCCTCCTGACCAGCTTATCCTGACAGCAGTGCTACCTTCACCCCGGCTCTCACCCTGTCTGAGCGCGGCCTAAGGAAGAAAACGGCCACAGATAGCTCCCCTGCCCCTCGCTGTGGCAGGATGAGGGCAGCCTGGTACGCACAGGTAGGAAGCGCCCTACATCACTGCCTCCCAAATTGCCTTCACTGAAGAGCCAGCCTTTTTATTTTTCCAACTCACACAGGTGATGCATTTAAAAAAAGACAATAAAAACAAATGATTAGAAAAACGAACTGCCACTGATAAAACGGCCATGTCACAGGGCTACAAAAATCGCTCAGCACTTGCTCCCTGCCCATTTCCAGTCTTGTCTCGTCGCAGAGCCCTGTCCAGCAGTGTGAGGACCAGTGCCAGTCTGGAAATCACACTTTGAGTGGCAAAGAAATGAAAAGCTGAAATCCTCTAAGACGCGCCACTGACCAGGAGGGCAGCAATAGCCAAACAGATCACTGAGTCTCTCCCAGCGCGTCTATGGGAAGGGATCTGGCAGGCTTGCTGTGAGGATGCATAATAAACTTTTTCTTGGCATAGAGGGTGACAGTCTAATAATGCAAGCCATAATCAGTATGACAAATTCCTGGGGCAGGGGGAGGGGGGTGTTAGTTTACAAAGCTCACTTTATCTCATCTGATCTCCATAATGCTTGGCCAGGGTTCCCACCCAGTTTCAGTGCAAGAAGTCACACCACAGCCCAGCGGCATGGCTCAGGGTTGAGCGTCGACCTATGAACCAGGAGGTCACAGTTCGATTCCCGGTCAGGGCACAGGGACTCAATCCCCAGTGTGGGGTGTGCAGGAGGCAGCCAATCAGTGATTCTCTCTCATCACTGATGTTTCTATCTCTCTCCCTCTCCCTTCCTCTCTGAAATCAAGAAAAATATATTAAAGAAAAAAAAGAAGTCACACTACAGATGGCACGGCGAGATGGCCTGCAGCTCATGAAGACGGGCTTTGCGGCACACCGGGCCTGGACTGGCCCCAGCGGGGGCCAGGGCAGCAATGGGCCCGGGCTGCGGGGACACTCACGCTCTCTGGAACTCGGGGATGCTGAAGATGGCCTGCATGACGGAGCTGAGGTAGCAGCTGTTGCCCAGGTTCTTGAGCCCCGTGTACCCGGGGCCATACATGGGCTTCAGCTTCGTCCCCGTCTCCTGGATCACTTCCCACTCGCTGACCCGCGGCTTGATGTCATTGTCCCGGAGCCCGTTCTCTGTCTGGGGCAAAGTCAGTGAAGAAAAACAACTTTAGCTGTGATCGTCGTTGGATGCCCCGTGAATTATTTCTAACAGCAATGGTGTTTCCGCCTCTTTTTCCCCCAACTAAGCAGAGGAATAAAAACCTAATTAAAAGAGACTGAGATGGTGATAGTTGCACAACAATGGAAATATACTTAATGCCAAAAAATGGTTAAAATGGTAAATTTTATGTGGTCTATCTTTCTGCAATAAAAAAATAAAATAAAAGTCAGAGTGACTGAAAAGAAAGGAGATAGGAGGAGGATGAAAGACAAATAGGAATCAGAAAAAAAAGAAGCAAGTAGAATAATTTCAGGAGAGGATAAAACACAGCCCAGCAAACAGCTGGAGAGGAAAGAGACAGAAAACTCGGGGCTTGGGCGTGCTTTGACCCAGGAGGAAGGCTTACAGAAGAGCAGAGAAAGCAAATTAACACGTGACACGAGTGAGAAGGAGGAGATGGGAGAACATGAGGAGAGGGAGCCGGCCTGGGCTGCAAGGAAAGGGCGAAGACAGAGCACACACATTTCAATAGCTCCTCCCAGGGACTAACATCACAGTCCTGACAGCAGCGTGGAAACACGATATTAAATGAAGTAAAGCTCTTCCATCAACAATAATACATTGGCTTATTCTTTCCCTCCCCCAGACGCTCTGCTTCCCTTCCTGAAGTTAATTAAAGTGATACTGGTCACAGATAATTTTAAAGGTCATCTCCCGTACCGTCTCCCTTTAGTGAACAGAGTGATTCATGCAACTCTCCATCCATGGAGATTTTGCATGTAAACTCCAACTAAACAAAATGGTACTTGACAAGTTGCCATTTTTATTATAACATGAAAAAGTCCAAGCTGGCAACCAAAAGAAAATGCCAATGAATTACATTCAAGAAGTAAATGCAAACACTGAAACCTGTAAAATGAAGATTCATGTTAGAGAAATTATACATTAAATAAAACAGACAGTTCCCTCCCCACAAGATGGGAACAGAGACAAAAGCAGACGTTCTCACCCCGTGCATATGAAGCATATCGATTCCAAAATGCGCCAAGTGCTTGGCCAAGTGAGGATCCGTAACAGGTTCCTCTTCTTGAAACGAATAAACATCTAGAGAAGAGAAAACAAGCTGTAATCAAGTCATTCAATATTCAGCATATATTTACTGAGCTCCTACTATGCGCCTGGCTTGGGATATATTAATGAACAAAACAAAAACCTTCGGTAAGTTACACTCAACTGGAAAAAGACAGATGATGAGCAACAAACATAATAAGTAGGTATTCTTTGTAAATGTACCCATATATCAATTCCTGTGACATTTCAGGAATATAAAAAGGTTTCCTGAAAGAGGAGTGTCTAAAGTTAAAATACTTTAAAATTCGACAAACATAAATGCCTAACATTTGACTTTTCTAACCAAAACCACAGTGGCAGTACTCTAAGTTCAGGAGGAAAGAAGGGTGAGAGAGGAGAAGGGTGGCTCTGTGTGCCCACAGCAGGGAGAATCTATGGGGGAACACAGGCCCTCAGTGGCAGCTGAAAGGCTGACTTGGGGTGTAAGGTCCAGGACAATACACAATTCTGCCTTGGAACCTCTATAGCCTCAGGCCTATCAGCTCACCAACTTCCACCTGCCACCTGTCCCCCTTCCCTTCTGTCCCACATCGGGGTCCACACCTCACGTGCACCCTGGGCACACACAGAAGATGACAATGCGTTTGGCACAGCAGGGTAGCTCAAGGGTCCCCCTCCCCCCTGCCCCAGGGTCTGAGGGATGGGCATCTTGGCCTACTGGTAACCCATCTGTGGGGTACTAGTGCTGGGGAGCTGTGCTGAGCTGGGAGGCTTCTCTCCTAATATTCCACCTGATGATATTCCAGCTTCAGATGGAACCTGGCTTCTCAATGTGTACAGAATCCGGGCCTTACCCCAGACCTGCGGACTGAGAATCTGCATTTTCATACGATCCCAGATGCTATCCGACCACTACCTTCTCGGTCCTCACACTGCAGGGCAATGTGGGAGGGGAACAGCTTCAGGCCCATTGTGCAAATGAGGAAAAGGAGCTCCGAAAGGTGACATCATTTGCCTCAAACCCCACAGGGGGCCCAGAATCCAGGTACTCTGACTCCTGGCCCTGTCCTTTTTCTCTGCACCAGCCTATTTCCTGAAATCTCTTAGGAGACCTGCACACTTGGTCCTCAATAGCAATGGAGAGACAAAAGCCACAGTTTCTTCACTCCTGAATTTGAAGAACAAAATGTATTACAAGGGAAATAGACATAAAGATATCATTCTATAGAAAAGTAAAAGATAGACTGTCCAAGGAGTTTCCCTGCTCTTTGAATGTCACCAGGAGAAGAAAAAGTAATACACGGAAACTGTGGTGACCCTTTGGCCCAAACCCAGGTACATGGAGATTCACTGTCACCAAATACATGGAGATTCTATTATTAACTAGAGGCCTGGTGCACGAATTTGTGCACAGATGGGATCAGGAGAGCCCACCTTGATCGGGCCAATCAGGCTAGGCCGGCTGGGGGGAGGGGCCATGGGCGATTGGCCGGCCGGCACCGCCTCCTGGTCGAACTCCCAGTCGAAGGGACAATTTGTATATTAGCCTTTTATTAAATAGGATTGATTAAACATTGTATAGCTTTTTCTTCTATTCCTCTTTCCCTAGAGGCCCATTTAAATTTGTGGGTAATAGCTTTCATTTATATCCTTTTTAAAAATATAATTCAGTGCTTGAAAGCAAAAACAAAAGACAAAACCCCAACCCAATTAAGAAAACACTTCCAAAAAGTTTAAATACTAAAAACATCAACAAAATATTTGAACTAAAGCTTGAAACAAATACAACAATATTTTTCATCTATGACAAATGACAGAAAAGTGTCACTCAAATACTGGCTGGAAGGTGAAAAGGACATTCCCTGGGTACTTTAACTTGGGTTATTATGAACTAGTGGGGTTGTTTTAAAGACTTAAGACTTTAAGCCTCTCATTATCGGAGATCTATTAGAAAATAATAAAATTGCTAGGACTGCACCATTGACATTAGCCCAGAGTTTTGGATTAGGCAAAAATCACAGAGCTATTAGGATAATGACTAACCCACTAGACTCATGCCACATAGAGAAAGTAATGTTTCCTATCTCCAGTCATTAATTGCTCCAAAGATACGACATGATTCGGTCAGACACTACAGTAATTTCTTACTCCACAAGTATAACAGTATACCACACACATGGTGCTCAGGTGCTGCTGTCCAAGGTGACCACCATTCAACATAGTTCCAGGGTCTTGTGAAAAATGCTACGGTGGAGCAGTACAAGGAGGGGCACAAGCCAGATCCAAACTAAAATGAAGTCATCAATCCTTGATTCCAAACCCTCCGGCTCTCAGGAACTCAAAGAAGCTTACGTCCAGGTCAAGAGTTAAGTTGCTCAAAGAAGACCACCTTGAGAATCTATGGAGCGGGTGAAGCGGCCAGTGGGATAGGCATTTTCACAGCTGCCTTGGGCATCTCTGGAAGACTCTTTCCCAACCACCCAGGGCACTGAGGCATGTTCTTGAGTAAACTAGTTTCCATGATGGAAGATAAATACACCCTCTCCTTCCTCCACCCCTTCTCACTCCCTTCCCACCAAGCACCTCTTCCTTGCTTTGCCAAACCAATGTCTCTTCCCGCAAAGGAAAGCTTCTTGTTTGTTTGTTTGGTGATCTGTTTGTTTCCTGGTTTGTTTGTTGTGGTGCCCATGGGGACCCAGAGTGGAATTTGGCATGGGTCCATTTTTTTTACCCATGCCACCACAACGGCCTCGCCTGGGGGATTAGGGCTTCTTGGAAGAGCTCATTCTAAGTTGAGACCTCAAGATGAGTAGGAGTTTGTCACTGAATAGGTATATCCTTAGAGGGGAGAAGGAAATCAGCATGAGCAGATCACACTACCATTAAATAGTTGAGTCCACAACCTGCTAGGATTCCATGTTTACTAAACAATATTCTAAATATAATTCAGCTTCCCACAGGGAAGGAATGTACTGGTCAAGCAAGCAGTTAGACCAGTTATAAACTAAAAAATAAAGTCTGAATTTGAGACTTTGTCTCTTGTGAATTGAATCAGCCCCAACTAGCTTAGCAAGTGTGGAATATGGGACCCTCAGCAGTGGTACCTTCACCAGAAGGTGGCCACCCTGTCCCCAAGGGCACCATGCCCACCGGGGCCTCAGGGTACACAGGTTCACCATATGATATTTAAGGAAACTTTACGCATGTTTCCATTAACTTATTTGGCTTTTAAATAAACAGTGTTATAGTTAGCAATCTATTAAACACAGATTTAAAAGAAACTAAAACAGAACTGATGCATCACATACACTTGTATGAAATGATAATTAGACTGAAAATAGTCATTTGTGCTAAAACCAAGTCTGCACAAGATAAGCAGGAATTAAATCCTGATCTTTTTTTCAAAAAGTGAACATTATTTCAGCTAAATGAATTTGAGAACCCTCACCACAGGGTGTATGATTCACACTGCTATTGTCAGTGTTGTGTTCATCTATGATTGAAATGGGAGTAATTTATTCAAATATTGTCAATTATATAATAAAGGTAACCTTAAAAGTTCTTCCTCTAGAAAAAAATTAACTAGCCCAGCTGGTGTGGCTTAGTGATTGAGCATCAAGCAATGAACCAGAAGGTCATGGTTCGATTCCTGGTCAGGGCACATGCCCAGGTTGCAGGCTCCATCCCCAGTAGGAGGCGTGCAGGAGGCAGCCTATCAATGATTCTCTATCATCGTTGATGTTTCTATCTCTCCCTTTCCCTTCCTGTTTGAAGTCAATAAAAATATAATTTTTTTTTAATTTTAACTATGTCAGATAATGGGTTAATATTCTTTTTATTCATATTTTAGTTTTTATTGATTGATTGGAGAGAAACATCAATTTTTTGTTGTTCCACTTATTTATGCATTCATTTGTTGATTCTTGTATGTGCCCTAACTGAAGATCACACCCACAACCTTGGTGTATTTGGAAAATGCTCTAACCAACCGAGCTACCCAGCTATGGCTCAGCCCTGTGAAAAAGGGGGGGAATAAAAGTCAATATTTTTTTAAATATATTTTATTGATTTTTTACAGAGAGGAAGGGAGAGGGATAGAGAGTTAGAAACATCGATGAGAGAGAAACATCGATCAGCTGCCTCCTGCACACCCCCCACTGGGGATGTGCCCGCAACCAAGGTACATGCCCTTGTCCAGAATCGAACCTGGGACCCTTGAGTCCGAAGGCCGACGCTCTATCCACTGAGCCAAACCGGTCAGGGCAAGTCAACATTCTTAATAGCTAAAGTTTTTTTAAAGCAATAAAAAAACGCCTACACATAAACCTGTTAGAAAATCAGCCTAAGAAATTCACAAAAATTACTATGAATGGCCAAGAGTACTATAAAAAATGTTCAGCCTCACTAGTAAAGCAAATTAAAGCAAGATAACAGATTAGCAAAGGTTTTGAAAATTTTTGAACACCCCAAGTTGTCCAAGATTTGGTAAAATGGGTATTCTCATACACTGGGGGAGGAAACGTAAATTACTACAACTGTGTTACAAAGAAACTCAGCAACTGAAAAATTAAGTTTCAGCCCTTTGTTCGTCAGAATTTATCATAAAAAAAAAATAATTAGACAAACACCCAAAGATTTGTATATGCACAAGGATGTTCACCAGAATAGCACAAAAATTATAACTCACAGGGGAATAGTGAAATGATTTATGGAACTATCCTGGGATACTGATGAGCATCTCATGACATGAAAAACATAATTTAAAGTTAAGAGAGAAAAATAAGGTATGAAGCTTTATACCGTGTAATTCAAGTTTTGTAAAAATAGGGGTTGGGCAGGGGGCGATTTGTATAAGAACTAATCAAGGCTTTAGAAAAGGGAAAAAAAGACTTAAAGAAAATACCCTAATTGTTAGAAGTGATTTGTCTGGCAAGTGTATTACTAGTGATTTTATTTACTTCCCTACACTTTTCTCTGTTTTCTAAATATGTTTCACTGAACATCTGCTTCTTGAATAATCAAGGGGCAAATATAAACTTCCCTTCCTCAAAGGAAAAGGAAAAAAATTTCAGATGCACTCTAAATTGCAGTTTAAAAATAAGCTTCCCTCTAGAAAAAAAGGTTTTGAAAAATTAAAGATGCAAAGAAAATAGAATTAACCTTTGCCTTTATTTTTGGCACACATTTAAATAAAATCTATTTTTTTATTTTTAATATATTTTTATTGATTTTAGAGAGGAAGGGAGAGGGAGAGAAAGATAGGAACATCAATGATGAGAGAAAATCATTAATCAGCTACCACAACCCAGGCATGTGCCCTGACCAGGAATCAAACTGTGACCTCCTACTTCAGTGATGGCGAACCTTTTGAGCTCAGCGTGTCAGCATTTTGAAAAACCCTAACTTAACTCTGGTGCCGTGTCACATATAGAAATTTTTTGATATTTGCAACCATAGCAACCATAGTAAAACAAAGACTTATATTTTTGATATTTATTTTATATATTTAAATGCCATTTAACAAAGAAGAGTTCGCGTGTCACAGGTCATAGGTTCGCCATCACTGTCCTAGTTCATACGTTGATGCTCAACCACTAAGCCATGCCAACCGGGCCAAATAAAATCTAATTATTTAGATACTTATATGCCATTTGGTTCATTTAACAAAAGTATGTGTGCCTACTATGTATACGATTTTGTATGGAACCCAAAGATAAGTAAGAAATAGCCCAGCCTTCAAACAACTAAAACTGTATAACTAAGACATGTACACCAACATTTGTAGTCTTGGACAGGCTGTATCAAAGCACTACATAAGACAGCACAGAAAGTAGAAACATTTGAATTATTATCTTCTTATAATTTCATCCAATAGGATGCCTACATTACAAACCCTTCTCTCTGTGGTCCCATAAAAAGATGATGATAGTTGCCTTATACAGCAGTCATTCAACACAGCAATGAGCATCAAACACTTGGCTGAAGCCCTAGTCCAGCACATATCCTGAACTTTCTCTTCAGATCCTGGAAGCCTTAGCATTTGACCTGGCTTGTGTAGGGTTCTGTTTGCTTGGGGGAATGGGTGATGGGGGGGTGTTTGGCATCAGCACCTGCCAGGGCTGACCAGCAGACCCTGAGTGACGGATGAATGGATTAGTCTGACACACGTTTCTGTGAAAGAGAGGCTAAGGGACTGCCTGGCTATAGGAACCAAGCAGCCCCGTTCACCTGCCTCCTTAGGCTTTTATTGTAGCAACAGCTTGAACTAAAATTAATCTCTAGATACAATCAGCAGGGTAAGCATCCTTGAGAAAGCACATGCTTCTACAAGGTTGAGTCTAAAGACTAAACATAGAGATTCCAGCAAAACACCCGGGGGCTCAGACTTGTTTGGAAAAGTCAAGGCAGGGGCTGCCACCTTCGGCAAAGTTCCCCTAGAGGCCCCCAACCTTTCGGAGAATCCTCCTTACAGACTTTCCAACCAAGTCCCATGCTTCCCCACAAGCACCTAGGCCTCTTACAGCTACTTTTCTCTAATGAGTTAAAATAAGTCCTCTAACTTGAGAAAATGATCCAAAATGCAAATCCAAAGAATCTTGACATGACCTAACTGCCAGCCTCAGTGATAAAACAAGTGATAAATGAAACCAGTTCAATGAAAAGGTTGACCAGAGCACATGTAGTGAGCCCATCCTAGCCAGTTACTCGGAGGCAGGCTAATTCTGAAAGAGAGCAGAGAAAAGATACATATCTTTATATTGCTCCTAAAAACTCATCTTAACCTTAACATAAAGAAGAAATGGACTCTCAAGCCTGAGCAGATGGAGAAAATGGCCCTAGATGTTGACCCAGACCTGTGCTTAATAACTATTTTCAATGGTGCTTAGATGATGGATGGGTCTTATGGCCACTGCTCAATATTTAAGTTGCTCATTACTGACCATGATGTAATTTCCTTTTTCCTCACAAATGGTAGAGGGAATTAACTGTATAAACATGGCCAAAAGTATTGTTTTAAAGGACACTGTGTGAGACCATAAAGAAAAAAACAATTCTGAAGCTGACGGTATAAATAGGGAGTAATTCAACTCCTCACTGCACGTGAACCACCGCTGCCAGAGAGCGGCAGGGACTCTGAACACACAGTATCCATCCTTTCAAACCCATCTTCTCCATAATGAACCTACTTGTTCCTAAAAGAATGAATTCTAGGGCTTCCCCAACTATTCTAATGCTGGGTTTGATTGTGCACTTTCGCTTCACAAGCACCTGGTTCCTGCTTCTCCCCTCTAAGCCAAGAGACACAGAAAGATAATAACCAAAGCAGCTAGCTTTTATTAACACCTTACTGCGTGCACTGAGCTAAAAGCTGATGCACCTTAACAATCCTGTGAGGGAGGTACCATGGTTATCTTCAAGATGAGGAATCTGACACTTAGAAGGATTTGAAAACTCCCCCAAGACATCACAGCGAATAAGAGGCAGAATCAGGATTCAAACCTGAGCTGTCAGAATCTAGAGCCTACACTCTCCAACCACTGGATTAAGACATTGCTCAAATCTAGGAGGGAGCCACTGCCGGTTCCCAGAGTCGAACAGGCACACTCACCTGCCCCGTCAGGAGTGATGGTTCCCAGTTTCACGGCGAGAGGGTAGCCCATGTCTCTGTAATGCTCCAGGGCGTGCCCGTTGCCCCCAGAGCTGTCAAAGAACCACTTCCCACACAGGACGGAGCCATCGGTGAGGTTCAACCAGAGGTTTTCCCGCAGGTCACATCTGGCACACTTCCAACCACTGGAAAGTCATTGGAGAACAGTTAGTACAGCTGGAATGCAAGGCATAATTAGAAAATCAACAGTGCCTCAAGAAGAAACAAGCCTGGCTGGTGTGACTCAGTGGTTGTGCGTCAACCTATGCACCAGGAGGTCACATGTTCAATTCCCAGTCAGGGCACATGCCTGGGTTGCAGGCTTGATTTCCCCAGTGGGAACATGTGGGAGACAGCTGATCAATGATTCTCATTCATCATTGATGTTTCTATCTCTCTCTCCCTCTCCCTTCCTCTCTGAAATCAATAAAAATATATTTTTTAAAAAGAAGGAAGGAGTTCCTCAAGCTGGGGCCACAGTAAACAATCAGTGGAATAATCTGAGTCACTCCCAGAGCAGCAGGACCCCACAGTACCCTGCCTGCCACCCAGATGGGGACCAGCTCCTCCCGCTCCTCCGAGATGGCTCTTGGACTTTAGAAAACTAACACAGAACCCGAGGACAGAAGGGGCGGTCACTTCCTTAAAATTCCCATGTGAGGGACAGAGGAGCTTGAATACGTTTAAAGCATTAAGGATTCCATGTATATAAACACCTAAATTTCAAAAGCATTAACTACACCTAAGAAAACTAGTTTAAACAAAACCCTACTACATGACAAATTAAATTAAGTAGAAGGGAAATCACCCTGACGCAGTGGTTCTCAATCTTGGCTGCACATTATAATCACCTGGGAATCTTTTTAAAATCCTGATTTCTGGGCCTCATCCTCCGGAAATTCTGTTTCTTTGTTATGGCGTGGGGCCACAACATTAGGGCCTAACGGAAGATTAAATATCGGGTATATGCCAGGGACTTACCAAAACTCTATCATTGAATTCTAATGAACACCCTCAGCATCAGTATTACCATCCCCACTGTGAACAGGAGAAACTGAGGTATTGTGCCTGTGCTAAGACTACACAGAATGGGACTGCAGTGCAGTTAGGGTTCAACAAGACTGGACACATTCCTAATCTGCTCTTTCCTTCTAGCACCTGCCTCTGGAAACACACCAGCACCTAGGAGATGCTCAAGTGGCCCAGAGAGCATTCCAGCCAAAAATGTGACAACCAAAGACTACTCTAAGTTGGGTTCCCCAAGAAGCAGAGTCTGAGACAAAAATATGAATGCAAATGGCTTGTTTGGGAGGTGATCCCAGGAAGCATCACAGGGAAGTGAGACTTTAGAAAGGGCAGGAGGCTGCCACGAGCAATGGGGGCCCAGTCCAGCTGGGGAACCCTGGAGGCAGTTATCCCACCTGAGTGGAGATCTGGGGTATTTGTCCAGCCACTCCACAGGCACTGGCCTAGGGCTGATCCAGGAGGACAGGAGGGAGCATTAACTCCATAGCATCTCTGACTGTCCCATCACGAGCCTACTTGGTTTCGGCAGGCAGAGAAAGCCCTCAAGCAAAGAGTTGCAGGTGGTTGCAACTGGGAGCATTAGGGTGGGGACAGACTCAGGGGTATGGGCTGGCCATATTCAGTATCTACTACTAAGGTACAGATAATTTTGTTATTTTTTTATAATTTCATTTTTATTTTTATTAGAGAACGTGCAAGAGACACAGAGAGAGAAACATCGATGTGAGAGAGACACATCGATTGGTTGCCTCTTGCATGTGCCCCAACGGGATCAAGCCTGCAACCGAGGTATGTGCATTGACCAGAATCAAACCCAGGACCATTTAGTCCATAGGCCGACACTCTATCCACTGAGCCAAACCAGGTAGATAATTTTAGAGAGGTTTTTTTTAATTGATTTTTTTTTTGGTGGGGGGGTTTTTTTTTAGTGTTATACAAAGGATTTTTTTTTTTTATTTATTTATTTTTTTATTGCTTAAATTATTACAAAGAGTATTACATATGTCTCCTTTTTTTTTTCCCCGCCCTTGACAATCCCCCGGCTTCCCCTACCCCCCAGTGTCTTATGTCCATTGGTTATGCTTATATGCCTGCAAAAAGATCCTTTGGTTGGTTTCTTACCCCCCCCCCTCCAGCCCCCCACCCTCCCCAGCCTTCCTGCTGTAGTTTAACAGTCTGTTTGAGGCAACTCTGCCTCTGTATCTATTAATGTTCAAGAGTTTATAATGGTCTCTATTATCCATGAATGAGTGAGATCATGTGGCCCTTTTCCTTCATTGACTGGCTTATTTCACTTAGCATAATGCTAGAGAGGTTTTTTTTAATTGATTTTTTTTTTGGTGGGGGGGGAGAAAGGGAGAGAGAGAAAGAGAGAGAGAGAGAGAAACATCAATTTGTTGTTCCACTTATTTATGCATTCATTGGTTGATTCTTGTATGTGCTCTGACCAGGGATCGAACCTGCAACCTTGGGCAGCAGGACAGTAATCTAACCAACTGAGCTACCTGGTCAGGACCTAGAGAGAATTTTTGAGCTTATCTTACCTAATAATAGACAAACATGTAAATTGACCATACCTTTGCTATGCTAACCAGCCAATCAGGAGAGTATGCAAATTAACCTAACAAAGATGGTGGTTGCTCTGGCCGGTTTGGCTCAGTGGATGGAGCGTCGGCCTGCCGACTAAAGGGTCCCGGGTTCGATTCCAGCCAAGGGCATGTACCTTGGTTGCGGGCACATCCCCAGTAGGGGGTGTGCAGGAAGCAGCTGATCGATGTTTCTCTCTCATCGATGTTTCTAACTCTCTATCCTTCTCCCTCCTCTCTGTAAAAAATCAATAAAATATATTTTTTTTAAAAAGATGGCGGTTAATTTGCATACGTAGGCTCCAAGCGGTGGAGCGAAGCCTGACAGCCCCTGGGCTGGCGGAGCAGCGAAAGCCTCACAGCCGCGGGGCCCGAGGAGCAGCGATAGCCTCATGGCTGAGGGGCCCGCAGAGCAGCGATAGCCTCACAGCCGCGGGGCCAGCGGAGCAGCAAAAGCCTCACGGCCTCGGGGTCCGCGGAGCAGCGAAAGCCTCAGGGCCGCGGGGCCGGCTCCAGCTGGAGCCTGGCCAGAGCGAAGGCCTGGGTGCCGGGTGCCGGAGGAAAACCGGTGCCAGCAGCCAGGGGAAAGGAAGGCCTATTGCACAAATCTCTTCGTGCAACAGGCCTCTAGTTTTTAATAAAAGGCATCTGATAAAAATATATTAACTGCTAATTCAGAGAAGAGGTAGAAGAGTAGATATTCTTTTGGTTTTAGGGGGTAAAGCTCCATTTTCCTGACACTCACCTTGGAGGAATCCTGACTCCATTGTCCAACTGGGTGAGGTTATTGGCATACTTGGATACTGGCAACTCATGTTCCCAGGTGTCTGGGTCTTGTTTTCTGTATGGAGATTTTGAGCTAAGAACTGCATCACAAGCAATTGTTACCTATAAGACGAACCCAAATGTAATATATTAGAACAGTCTGAGAGAATAACAACTTCTATAAAATAAATTTCAAGGTTTATTAGTAAATACAGCTTAATCTAAGAAAAGCAAATGGTACAGTTACCACAAAAGCAAGATCCTACTTTCTTGATTCCAGCACTGGCTCTTGCTGGATTTTGTCTCTGGCCTACAGTTTGCAGTATTGACAATGGCACAGGATAGCGAGGAGCCAAATCCAGTTTGTAAGCCCAAGTGCAGGAGCCAAATTTAAAAATTCCTACCCCTTAGCAAGCAGAGTGAAAAGTATAAGGTGAACAATTTACAAATTAGCCAATGGAATGCCTAGGATTTACCCATGGGGTGTGTTTTCCTCTTAACAAATATACACCCAGATATGCAATACCCTCAACTCATCACACAATGGCATGTGGTCAAGGGCACTTGAATGGAATGCAAGCAGCAGCTTCATTATTCCATTTATTTGAAATACCCAGAATAGGCAAATCTATAGAGACAGAAAGTAGATTAGTGATTGCCATTGGCTGGGGGGGGTGGGGGGGGGGGTTGAGAGGTGGGATAATAAAAATATTTTAGAATGAGCCCTGGCCGATGTAGCTCAGTAGTTGGAGCATCGAACTGCGCACTGGATGGTCTGGGATTCGATTTCCAGTCAGGAGCAAGTACCTGGTTTGTGGGTTCACTCCCTACCCCCAGTAGGAGCGTGTGCAGTAGGCAACAGATCGATGGTCTCTCTCAGGTCTATATTTCCCTCTCTGTCTCCCCCTCTCCTCCCTCCCTTCCACTCTTTCTGAAAAGCAATGGGGGGAAAAACTCTAGAATGAGATAGTGGTGATGGATGCCCAACTCTGAATATAATAAAAGCCACTGAATTGTTAAAAATAAAATTTTTAAGCAAAAATTTGTATTCTGCATCACTAACCTCCTGCACAGTTAGCTGAACTCCATGCAGAATCTTTTCCCCTGGGTACCACTGATTGATCCCAGAATTGATTACGAGACAATGGAGGAAGTTCCCTCAGCTGCCATCCCACCCCCATCCAGCCCGTGGGCAATTCCTATCACTCCTACATCCAAAACCTATTTGGAATCTAGCTCTTCTCAATTTGGACACACCCATCTCAGTTCCAATAACATCACAGCTCACCCAATGGCCACACAGCAGCCCCTTAGTCTCCTTCCTGCAGCAGCCAGAGCGATCTGCTGTGAATATCAGATCTTATCCTTCCTCAGCTTAAAACTTTCCGAAGTTACACTGAACACTACCAGCTGACGACACTGGGCGAAGCACAGTCAGGAATGAGGAAAAAGCCCCTGCCCTCAAAAAGCTTTTACTCCGTGATAGATCAGGCATCCATACCTATTATTTACAACCTTTTTTTAAAAATACTCCCATTCATCTCTCACCACAAGTGCTGCTATATAATTACCCTCTCCTCTCAATTATCAAAATTCATCTCTTACCCCCCATCCAGGGCTGGCCCTACAGAACGAGGCTGAGTTCACCCACCAGCCCCTTCCTGATTTTTATGGGGTTTTTAAGCTGTCTCCACACTTCTGGCTACGCACTCTAATCTTTTTAGTCTGGTCTGTCGTAATCCCCTTCTTGGTTCACCATCTTCGTCAAGCCCTTCCCAGTCCTCATCTGAATTTTATCTACCCCACTAGGTCTTTAAGTGTTCTGGTTTGCAATACACAATATTTTTTATTAAGAGCTGAATATAACATTTATTTTCTTTGACTATCCTTCCTTGTGACACTCAACAAAACTTCCTTAAATTTGGGCCACTAAAATACACTAATCTAGTGTTTTCAGAACATCATCTAAAATCACTTAGAGGCCTCTTTTATGGATCATCGCTGAAGGCCAAGATACACCACCCTGTAATTACATTGTGAATTATCTTTCCCTGGATTTGTTATATGGAGTGAAGTGAGAGACCTAGTTACTAGTCCTGACTTCATCCCAGGTCCTCAAGTTCAGTGGGGTCCTAGAACCTACTCAAAGCAGCTCACAGACTCAATTATTATATATTAAGAAATTCTGTAAGATATTTGTTAAACACTGACATTATTAAAAACTAGAAGCCCGGTGCATGAAATTTCAGCCTGGCCTGCATCCTCTCACAATCTGGGACCCCTCAGGATGAGCCTAAACCGGCAGTCGGACATCCCTTTCACAATCTGGGACGCTGCATGCACCAGTGACCATACTTTTCATACAGGTGAAAGACATCTTGCTGTTTTATGGGCAGCTACATTTTTTTTTACCCTGATTATAAAGAGTAGTACATAACATGATCCTTCTGAGGCAGTAGTACCATTTTCCCCATCTTATGGGTGGAAAAACTGAAGCAGAGAGAAGTTAAGTAATTGGCTTTGTCACACAGTTATAAGTGTCAGAATCAGGGCCGACCACAAAATGTGCAAGCCAGAGTCCATGCATGTCATTGCCACATCATCCTGTTTTTTCAGTGTTAGAGTAGCCTTGCCAGGTTTTAATTTTTAAATCTGAGAGACTGTTCCCAATATATAGGGTAGGGTCCCTAGGCCTAGCCGGCGATTAGGGCCGTCTGTGGGGCGACTGGTGGGTGGGGTGATCAGGGGGCCCCCGCTGGCATCCGCCTTGGCTGGTGGCCTGGCACTGCCCGCTGGTTGGCCCCACCCCCCAATCGCTGCCGCCAGTCGCCTTCCTCTGGGTGGGGAGGGAATGCGTTTCATAGTGACCTGGTCATTCCACTGTTCGGTCGATTTGAAAATTAGGGCTTTATTATATAGGATTAAATTATATAAACTTATAATTAAATAAACTATATTTTTTAAAGGTAGCTAATATGCAAAACACTTCATAATGGTTTTACTATGTCTTACTAGTATCCATGTTCTCTTGAGGTTATTTACATCTATGGTAAGTGAATGGTGGAAATTCTTTATAAAAGCTCTTCCAACACTGCATTCAGTGACATTTTGTTAGCCTGAAATCAGCCATGGTGGCAGTATTCACACACGGAAACCAGCAACCTCTACAAAGCGGGACTTTTCCCCCAGCGAGGTGGTTGCTAACCATTTACAAGCATACCACTGCTGACTCCCTGATGTCTAAAGCGAGGTACTAGGTTCCAGATTATAAAATCCTCACTGAGCCCCCAATGCTCTGTCTCTGTGGACCTGCATTGCTAGGAGGTGGTTTCAGTTTTTGGTAGAATCTAGTAACTGACTACCTGAACCTGAATTTTTCCAGTGCTGAGGAGCTCATGAGATGAAGGAAGCGTGACCTGGTTGGGTGGTTTTGAGCTCAATAACTCTGTTATTTAAAAGCATGAAAAGAGAATTTTAAAAGTGTGAAAAGAACATGTAGTATAGATAAATCCTATTAGATAAATCCAGGCTTTTCCTTCAAGCTCCCCTTCCAAATTATTCTCCCTTCTTTTTTAATTCTCAAACTATTCCTCGATTCTAAAAGACGCTGTAGTAAAAATTCTGATTTATACTGCTGGGTTTAGATTTCTATGTCACTCCACTTTTAAATAAAAGAATTCATACCTCGAATTATGTTCTGAATATAGGAATAATTTAAAGTATTTAGAGATTTTTTAATTCACTTTCTCACATGAAGACTTTTCCTTCTTAGGTGAGTGGGAAGAAAAGCATTTATCATTTACCGTGTGCTTCTTTATTCTTTCCAGACGGCACGGTTACATTGGACAAGGACAATGAGAACTCTCCGTATTGCAAAGATATAAGCTGTAGTATATAAAATCAGGGAGTGGGACAAGACAAGACCATTTGTCCACTCCTATATTTTATCCTTGGTAACAGCCCCACATCAACACGGGGAATTGGAGAATGCAGAAGTAATTTAACTCGGTATGCCTTCCTAAGGGTGTGCACTTAGTACTTAAAAAGGATATGTTACATGTAATCATTAGAGAAAGATTTACAATACCTAAACCCAGAAAACTTTCATTTCTATGGTCTTCTAATTTAGGTATAAAGTAAGTCAGGGGCAGAAGAGGTGGGATGGTAGAAACCTGGCCCCTAAGGACATGGGAACCCCAAGCACAAACCGGCCAGGGCAGGTGAGCAGGTGACTGTAGATAGGGTCACACAAAGTCCTGAAGACTCCGGGAACTAAAGACCTGGCTTTGGTCCTGGCAGAGTTTAAGAGGGGGTGGGGGGGGGAAAGTGACATGTCTACCCTCCAATTGACCCTGACCCCTGACCCCTGACCCCACTGCTATCTGTGGCCAGACTCTGAGAATTCAGGGTGCACACAGAGTGGGGAAGAGGAAAAAGCAAGAAAGGAGGGAGTGGCAGAGACAATACAGAAAAAAGAGGAAAGAACAGGAAAATGGTTAGGGTCCCCGAGGGAACTCGGTGCCCACTCCCAGGATTCGAGAATGGACGTGAAAACAGAGCCTGGCTGCCTCCCCCCACCAGCACCCTCCCAGCTTGAAGTTGTTCAGGAAGGTGGAAGTTGCTCCACGGAAATGAAGGGAAAGGAAGAGAAAAAATAAATTAAAAACCTCACCACTAAATCTAAATTCATAGTAATCTCAGTCCTCATGAGGAGCAAAACTGAAAAGTGGGTTCACGTAACCACAGAGCTGCTGCAGCCCCGTGGCGCGTGAATATCTGGTATTTTTGCCATCCTGTTGCTGCTGTTGCAGCCGTGGGATCATTGATTTAATGCCAAACAAAATCTTACACGAAAGGCCATAAAGTGATAGTCGTTCCTCTGATCAGAAGACAGGCCCTGCACATCTCAGGATGTGGTTTGAAAAATCTAAGCAACGGACTGTGAGTCACAGGCAGCGAGAAGCCAAGCTCCTGAAACGGAACCCTGCGAGCCCTCCTCGCAGAGAAGTAGCACTGTGCTCGTGTCTGTGCTCATTCTTCTCCTCTTCTCGCATTCAGCCCGCCTTCCCCACCCCACGTGCACGCACACGGCACACGCACACACACCTGACACAGAGAGCCACGCGCATCTAGCTAGCAGCCGTGCACACTCACTGACCAGGGCAGGTAACTCCTCAATATTTGGTAGTGCTATTTCATAGTGGTCTGGGAATATAACAAGTTTGGCTTCATCTTCATATTCATAATCGTCGCTATTTAAATCGTCATCAGTATCTAGATCTGAGGAGAAAACAAAAACAAAGAACAAGACATGAAGAAAGAACATCCCACACGAAGGCAGCACTCGCTGGGGAAGCCAGACAGCCACAGGGACCAGACCGAGGGCAGCGCACTCACACTCCCTCCTCTGACCGACCATCCACCGGCCCAAACCCGGGGGTGAAAGGCCCTGCCATCTGCCTCAGTTACGAATACTTACTGATTAGTGACACATGTACAAAGAAGACTGAGTCACATCACACAGCTTCACGGTTAAACATATGTACCAGATACTCAATTCTTAAACATGGGTAAAGGAATAGACTGTTCATTATGATTTGCTGGGTACCTGGTTCCTGATTTCACAAGAATGGGTTGGAATGTTTGTCCCAACACTGTAATTTGGAAGAAAGCACATGGGTTTCAGAATAGATAAACCGAGGTTCAGTGCTGGCTTCAAAAATTAATGTTACTTTTGGGCAAATCACAAACTCTCCAAGCCTTAGTTCCCTCATTTGTAGAATGGAGATGATAACACTTATCTCACGCACTTGATATGGGGAATAAATAAGAAACTGTAGACAAGCAACCTGGCACGGACCTCGTGGTCAATAATAGCAGCTATTAGTGAAAAAATAAAATCTCAATTTCCCTCTTTCTCTCTCTCTCTCACACACTCCTCCCCGCCTCTGAGAGCTGTTGGGATATTGGATAGTACCCCAGAGGGGAAACTCCATAATGTAAATTGGTCCTCGGGCTGTGGGGAATTTTCAGTAAGAAAGATGAGGTCCTCTAGGCTACTGTCTATCAAGTTATCGCCTCTTTGCTTGGCTAATCCCTGGTAAAGGTTAGGAAAAGGCTCAGAAAATGTCTTGTCACAATATTTACATGGACATTTCAGCCTTGTGTTCACATGATGCCAGCACCCCGATCATGTTTGTATGTTTAGGTGTTTGGAACTATGGTGACAAAGAGCTACTAAGCCACATTCCACTCACACACACACAAAGCCACACATAAACAGGTACACAAACATGGGCTCTGTCGACAGGAGAACGTTATTGTACAAGATAAAGCAGCCAGCTGAAAACCAAAGGATCTAGATTCTGTTATTACCCTACTGTTTGCCTCCAACCAAAAATCTAGTATCTTTCTGTGTACAGCTCTGCTCTTGATTCCCAAAGGGAGGGCAGTTTTAAGTAGAACATGAGATACAGCAAAAACACAGTCTAAGTGTGTTAATGAAGGATCCTGAATGACAAGACTCAGAAATGCCAAAGGAGAGAAACAAAAACATTGTTAGATAACCATAAAAGGTTTATTTCAGAAAAAGCTGCATTAAAGAAGATTCCAGCCCGGCCAGTGTGGCTCAGTGGTTGAGTGTTGACCTATGAACCAGGAGATCACAGCTCGGTTCCAGTCAGGGGCAGATGCCTGGGTTGCAGGCTCAATCACCACTGGGGAGTGTGCAGGAGGTGGCCGATCAATGACTTCCTCTCATCATTGATGCTTCTATCTCTCTTTCCCTCTCCCTTCCTTTCTAAAATCAATACAAATATTTTTTAAAAGATTCTAAGAGTTTAAGAAGTGACTAAAGGCATTTATTTCAAGGAAATGACTCAAAGATAGACATTCAGTCAGTGTTATAAAAATTTGAATGCCCCAATATATATAATAAAAAAATGAAAACTTAAACGTTCAATGAAGACAGTGTTCAACCCAACAGACTATTATTAAAATATTTATTTAGAATAGGTAGAAACATGAGAATGTCTATGCTATGTGAACACTAAAAATATAAAATCATTTTCACTGTAAAAACAACTTTGTAGAAGTTATGCTCCTAGATAAGAACTGGAAGGAAATCTAGACAAATGAAAATAGTGAGTGGGTGAACTTTTCTCTATCTTTAAACTTTCCTTTCTTATATTATTTATAACAATTAAGTAACCAAAGTACAAATCTTTTGTTTTTATGTATAGAGTCTGCTTATATAACACTAGAGACCCGGTGCACAAAATTCGTGCACAGGTAGGGTCTCTAGGCCTGGCCGGGGATCAGGGCCAATCGGGGCCTTCCAACTGCTGGCCAGGGCCTCCCTTCCTTCCCCGGCTGCTGGCTGCCAGCTGGGGCCTTCCTTCATTCCGCATTGCCCCCTGGTGGTCAGCGCATGTCATAGTGATCAATTGAACTCCTGGTTTCCTGGTCAAACTCCTGAGGGGACTCTTTGCATATTAGCCTATTATACATATAGATATTATGTAGGTGTCTCTTTTCCATAGAAAACATACTCATTTACTGCTAATTCAAATCTTACCTGACCAAACACAATGATAACTAAGTCCAAGAAAATGCCACCCTGGCATTTACTAGCTATGTAACGCTGGGCAAGATCTTTCAAGTTCATTTTCCTCGGGAGTAAGCTATGGATTGTGTACTCCACACAATTGTTGAGAGGATTAAACAAGGTAAGGTTTTAAGGCACCTCGTACAGGACCTGGCAGGGCTTCTCGGCTCCACAGATAGTAGCTGCCATCACCTCCATCATCACCATCACCACCTTCTCTACACTCCTGACAACATGTTCAAAAGTGCCTTCCCTTCCTTTTGGCTGCCCCTGGAATAAGTTTCAGGAAGACCACAGTATCATGTGGGGTCTGCCATGTGATCTGACCGTGGAGAAGGGACACCTTCCGCGCCCCCAGCCCCTGCACACACCACACATCACACTCTCAGTAACTGTGTGTGAGAGGAGACTTTAAGAAGTTAAAACTCCACCAGGCTACGGACAACAGCAAAGCAGGAGCATCAGAAGGATCGCTGTGGTTTGGGGGTTTTTTCATTGGTAACTGATGTGTATTTTAAAAGAAGCAAGACTGCTGTCATAAAAAACAAACAAACAAAGCAGAACTTTGTTGGGCTTCTTAACACTTTTATTTTTAATTCAACGGAATGGAAGGGGACCATGATCTTTCCCAAACATCTTAATCCAAATTAGAGAAAGTCAACAGAAGGAACCTACACTCTGATTTTAAGGGACAAACCTAAGGTTTCTCCTGAATATAGATGACCCCACAATCCCAAGTATAAATCTATAATTTCCAAATTTCTCTAATTAGGGTCTCACCACCCCAAAAATACCCAGTTGAGAAACCTACAGTGTAAGCATGCCCTAAGGACCTGTAGGACTGGGACCCCCAACTTCTCCCATCAGTCACTTCCCATCGTGACTAATAACTGGTAATATCTGGATGGGCTCTTTTCCTAAGTTTTAAAAAACCTTTTGTGCCCTAGCCAGTCTGGCTCAGTGGACAGAGCATAGGCCTGTGGACTGAAGGGTCCCAGGTTCAATTCCGGTCAAGGGCATATACCTCAGTTGCAGGCTTGATTCCTGGCCAGGAGGCAACCGATGAATGTGTCTCTCTCACATCAATGTTTCCCTCTTTCTCTGTCTCTCCCCCTTCCTTCCACTCTCTCTAAAAAATCAATGGAAAAATATCCTTGGGTGAAGATTAACAACAACATACATACATACATACATACATGCACAAATCTTTAAAAAAAAAAAAAAAAACCACTTCCCCAGCTCTACTTCATCGATCCTCCCAGGTCCCTGGGAGAAGTGGCTGAGACCACACCCATTTCCAGGAAGTAACTTGCCTAAAGTTCCCAGCAGCACAGTGAGGAATGGATCCCTAAGGAAAACCAGGGCTCTGATCCCAGCTCAGCGTCTTCTCGGCCTGACCACAATGCATGTGCTGGAGGTGGGCAGTCTGGCTGCTCCAATGCTGTGAAATCAGACCAGCCATTTACCCTCAAAAGAAGGGGAGGTTTTGGGAAAGCTCTTGAGCGCAGACCCTGTTCTGTGACCGGCTTCAGAAGGAAAGGCAACATGGAATCCACTAGAACCTTCTGGTCATGATAGGCACAGGGGAGTTTTCGGAACAGGCCCATTCCTGGACCTTTCCCCAAATGTTCTCTTTTACAACCTGTTTCTCATCAAGTATGAGTGCCAGGACTAAAGCCAAAAAAATGGACGTTACGCTCTCTGAGGTTGAGGTAGCTCTTTGAAGTCCCAGCCTCAGACACAAAGACCCTAACTCATTCACTCTGATTTATGAATGTTGGGGAGAGGAGTGCTTAATACAAATATGAATATTTAACACTATTTTTATGACATGCCACATATATGGTATTTTTTATGAAATGCATTAGCAGTTATTCATATATCTTTACACATTTGTAGCTTTGTTATAAAAATTATGTAAGATTAGACCAGAATCACATCCCAAGTCCTGGGATATTTCTTTGAAGATCCCAGACTCCTTTACATCTGCTCTTCCCTTCTTCTTTCTCATGGAACAATATATTTTATATGAGTTTATTGCCAAAATTCACAATCTATCATATTGTGGTAAGTTATCTTTCCATTATAGTGTCCCTTTCTAACCTGAAACATTAACACAGAGCTACCCGCACTTTCTCAGTTCACAGCATCCCAGCAATTTTCACACAGCAGCAGGAAGCCAAAAAAAACCCCTAATAGTTCTGTTTATTTAGTAGTTACATCCAAACAACTTAATTAAGTATTTATGTTCTAACAACTTATTGAAAAAATGATACACATATATTGAAAGAAAAAAGTGTTCTATTTCATTCTTAAATAACACAATTCCTTCCTACAGGATGAATACACCTTATCGGGCACTGCACAACTTCTCTTTGTATCAGACTGGATGCTGCCTCCATTTTTCCCAATCCACATTTATTTTCACATGGTATTTGCCGTTTACCATAGAAACCACCAAAAAACCAGCTTCACAAAGAGATGAAGTCATTGAAAGGAATACTGGATACTCCAATAGTGAAACTGCAAGCTAATGGTCCATGCAGTGTTCAAGCATCACTGTGTTCCCTTGAAGAGTTAAAACATCCTGAGGTGCACCTGTGAGTCTGCCGCAGCACCCCAGGGTGCCTCAGAGCACAGTTTGGGAACCAAAAGTGTTAATGGCTCACCACTGCCTATAGGAAAAAGTCTAAAAGCATGGTATATGTATAGACTATCACTGGAAGAATATACAAGATATATAAAGACATACAGACAGAAAATACTATTTGTCTCTGGAGAGACTAACCAGGGAGTTGGGAGACACAGAAGGGAAAGAAACTTACTCTTCATCATACAGCCACTTACAACTTTCAATTTTAAGCTTTGTCCATGTGTTATACATTCAAAATATTTTTTAATCCTAAATGTAAAAAGCATAAAATGAAAGTGATTCAAACGTTACCCATAGTTTTCATTATTGGTTAAAAAAAATATATACCAGCCAAAACTAGAGCTGAGGGAAGAATCCTTAACTGTGATTTCACTGATGAGCATCAATGTAATCGGAAGAGTAACTTCACTGTTGAGGGCAGGATGGTGCTCAGGAGACTTGGGGGTGAGCCATTCAGCACCAGCTAATGGCCTCAGTTTCCCTTGTAAAATCAATACTAAAGGTCATAACTGAATGATTCAATGGTTTCAATGTGACTGTTGAACCAAAGGAAGAGGAATTAGTCACAAATCAAGTGGATGTGGATGAAAGCCTCCCTCCAGGAGAAAGCATTAGTCATCCGCCTCTGTTCATGAAGGAGAAGGGAATCATCCCTCCACTTCAACCGCAGCCAAAAAGCACTTTCTGTTCAAAGAAACAAGAGACTGCAAGAGTTCTGGTTCTCTTCCCTCCATGGAGAGACAACCCCAATGTCCCTTTTAGGGAAGGAATCTGTGGCAGAGCTGCTAGCTGCCCCCTGGTATCCATGCTCCCCTTCTTGCATTGTAACAGGATTTACTTCATGAAGACAGTTAACAGACTTTACTTTCCAGGCTCCTGTGCAGCACCTGGTGTGGCCATGTGTCCAAGTTCTGACCAGAGAGGTGAAAACTGAAGTGCTGCTGAGGATGTGAGAAGGCTGACAAAAAGAATCAACTCCATTGGGAGATTAGACTTTGATCCTTCCCCCTTCATCTTCCCTGTTTTCCAGAATGGCGGTGTGATGACTGGAGTTCTAGCAGCCATTCTGCACCATGAAGTTACCATGAGGTTGGAAATCACAGGCCAGGATGGAGGGTGAAGCAGAAACATGGGAAGAGTCTAGATTCTAATAGAACATGAGGCTGTCACATCAGCGTGGACACATCTTGGGTCTCCTGCGACATGGACTGTTGAGTGAACACAAGGCAGCCTGTAGACAGGTCCCACCACAATGAGCTGGTGGGGGAGTGCTCCCAGGAAGCCATGAGAGGGGTCCACACCGAATGAAACACATAACCTCAGTGCTTGCCTTTGGATTAATCTTTTGAAACAGTTACTTGACATCATCTACCACCAAAATGATCACTACAGAAATCAAACCCCAAAGTCTTTTTGAATAAAAGAAACAAAGTTAAAGGACAAGATAATGAATCAAAGCAGGAAGAAACTCAGCTCTATGACTGTTTCCAAGGGTTTTGCTTTTCAAATAATGAATATGTCTTTGTGTTACAACAGTAACATGCATTTGTTATGGAAAAAATTAAAAAGAAATAAGCAAGAAGACATAAAAATCACACCACCAGAAAAGAGCTACTTTGAGCAATTTGGAGTCTATTCTGCCAGACTCTTCCACACTCGCAGTCATATATGCATACGTGTGTGTGTATAAACATACATATATACACACACATTTACCTACATATATGTACACACATATATAGATATGCATGCACATATACAGGCATATTTATATATACAAGATGGGGCAAAAGTAGGTTTACAGTTGTGAGTACATGAAACACAGAGTTTATTCTTGTATTATTATTTATTAATTATTGTATTATTTCCAAGACAAACAACTGTATACAGGTATATGTGTGTATACACTTTTTTTTTCCACCAAAATGAAATTGCAGTATGCAAACAATTTTGAAATTTCTTTCAAATACTAATCCCAGGCATTTAGGGACTTAAACTTGCTTCATCAAGTATTATCAAACCACTTTTTCTCCTGGACAACCATATCAGAAGCTTAGTATGACATACGATCATGATAACATGATATTAGAAACCATTACTCATTTGCATCAGCAAAGCTAGCTCTTCTGAAGGAGGGAGAGATCAAATCACTGTTAGTCAAACACCACTGGGCAGGCAAGACCCACTGATGGATGATAACATTAGCGGGCAAAACCTTGAGGAGAAACGAGTTATTAGCATAGTCTCCAACTATCACTCCCAGCACATTTATTAATTACACTGTAGCTTTACAGTGGAGAAGCCTGCCGGACACCCCTCAACAAGTGATCAGATTCACATCACCTGTCTGAAAACACAGCACCCCGTGCCCCTGATGCCACGTAGAGGAGGGCACATCACTCTGTGGTACTCTTGCCAAAAACGCATAACCTCAGACTTATCATAAGGACACATCAAAAAACCCAATCTGAGGTCCCTTCTACAAAATAACTGGCCCCTCCTCTTCACACATGTCAGGACTATTAAAGATGAAAAGAGAGTGAGGAACCATCACAGATTTGAAAGGGTTAAGGAAACATGGGGTTCTGGAACATAAAAGGACACCAGTGGAAAAAACGGTGAAACCCAAACAAACTCTGTAGTTTGGCTAATATTAAAATAAGAAAACCATGAAAACTGTCTCTTCTTTAAAAGCAGTGCGGGGGGAAAGACCAAAGGCAGAATTGCAGTTACCCTCAGGCCACTGTAAGCATAACTGTTTCAAACACTAACCCGGCTGGAATGCTGACATCCTTCACCACCAGGATGGCCCAGCTCATCTCAAGTTAAACTGGTTCTACTCATCCTTACCATACAGATCAACAAACAACCTATTACTCCAAATGAAGCACACACACGTGTGTACACACACACACACACACACGCAGAGTTATCTGGGCACGCTACTGATAACTATGCACATTACCTAAAAAAATCTTGGAATTCCTCCTTTTGGGTAAAGCTCCACCAGATGCCCCTTTTACTTTCTGAAAAGAAAAAAAAAAGAAATTGTTAAAATGCAGCCCATGGAAAAGACTAGTGGGGGAGGGATGGGTGGGGGGGGGGGAAGAGTACATCTCAAAGGTTCCCAGATTGTATAAAAGTCCAGAGGAAATATCCACTTGGATTAGAGAATCCCGGATAAACAGGAACTTGACCAGGTCAATGGAGGTAAGTGAAGGGCAACGCTATTGTTCCACCTGCCTATTTTCACCACGCTACACAGAAAGCACTTCTGGAAAGGGAAGTGGAACCAGGCATCAAAGTGAAGTAGATACTCCAGCTTCAAATCGGACATTCTCCCAAGAGGCTGGGGCCACGCCCAGCGCTGGAGGGACTCTGGAAGGACTGCACCTCTCGGAGGGAGGCTCTTGCTCTCTTGCTTCCTACCAGGTCCCCAGCGGTTGGGCCTGGGCCTGCCAACAATTATTGTTGAAAGACTTAATAAATATTAATCTATTGTCACTGATATTTGGTCCTATCACATCAATTTAACCTCCTTAGACATTTCTGGAGCACTGCGGCTGGCTATGTAGTGCATTTTCTACCTATCATGGCAGCAATGAAAAATAAACACCCATCAAGTGTTCATGCAAAAGAGGTCACGCATTACCCTCTGACACTCACACAAAATATTTTACTCTCAAATAGGATTATAAAAATGTTTGTGTCCAATGGCCAAAGCAACATCTCCACATTGTAAGTTCTTTCAGAGAATAGAAGAGAGCACGTTTCCAACACAGGGCGGGGTGCGGTCACGTGTCATGGCAGCATCAAGGCCTTGCTGCTGCTTCAGTTTGTGCTCTTCTTAGTGCTAGGTCTCCTCTCCCACATTTTTTTCATCTGGCATTGAAGGCTGACTCATCTTTGTGTTTCTCACATTAGTTTTTACAGCTTGTAGTATGAGTTTCTAGTTCACGTCTTAGGAATGTGAAAATTATTGAACGCTTTAGCTCAGACACCTGTCTTCCCAAATACTAATGCCAAACTCATGTTCCTCTCTTGGATTCCCTCTCCTCCATGGTCTCGGAGCCTCTGGTCCTCTGCCCTCCACTTACCTGCCTCAAAAGGAAGAAAAGTAAACCTATATTGAAGGCACATTGAACAGTCCTGGAGGTCACTGAAATCTCTCTGTAAGCTAATGGCATCCTTCCTTCAAACTTACTGCCTTCAATAATATATCATAAGGAGGAAAGGATCGTTCTTCTGGAGGTGGAAGCTGTGGCCAGGGATGGTCAGGTAAGAAGAGCAGCAGGCCTGTCGTATAGCAGCTGCTCAGCAAGTATTTGTTGGATGGATGATGAATGGGTGGATAGATGGATGATGAACAGATAGATAGATATGCTGACCACAGGAATGCAACAGGTAAAAGAGGAGTAGGGGTAGAAGTAGAGCATCCCAGATTTTAAAAAAAATACAAAGGCATGAAATCAATGTGTCCCAAGAAGGAGAAGTGGTTTGCTATGTCTAGAGCACAAAGCTGGGAGAGTAAGAGTGAGGGTTATAAAGGCCACATGGACACATGGAGGGCCTTGGAATCATGTGCAAAAGAGTTTGGGCTTCATCCTGCAACAGGGGAGAGATCAGCGATTTCAGCCACAGATGCGCAGATCATTCTGGGTGCAGCATGCAGACCGGGTGGGTTGAAGGCGGCAAGTGTGAAGGAAGGAGACTGGTCAGGAAGCCGCAGCACTGTCCCTCGGGGAGTGGTGAGCACTCAGACAAGAAGAACAGGGGTGCAGAGGACAGGACGGACTTCAGAGCTATTTGGGAGCCCAGATAACAAGACTTAGTGACCAACCAGTCATGGACTGAAAGCAGGATCCAAATGATGTCTAGGTCTCCAGCATTCAAGACCAAGGACAACTCTGAGAAAGAGGATAGATAGCTCATTCAGTCCAGAAATGTTCCGAGTAGAAAAAGCCAGGTCAGAGTCGGGTGGCCTGATCTGGAGGCATCAGCTCAGAGACGGTGGTTAGACACAGATGTGCAAGACAGTGAGGAGGAGAAGCAGCTTTTGGAGAAAGAAGACAGGAGGGTCAAGCAGAATCCTAGGAAATGCCGATGACTAAGGGGCAAATGAAGAAAGCGATGCTAGTGGAAGAGTGAGGCAGGGCAATCTGAAAGGCAGGAGGACAGCCAGGGAAGAATGGTGCCCAAGAAAGGAAGGAGGAGCAGCTGCAAAAAAAAAAAAAAACAAGTTCAAATACTCAAAACGTCACATAAAATCAGGGCTAAAATGTGTCCACCAAGAGTGACACCGAAAAGGTCACTGACAACGTCGCAGTTGTAATGGGTTAACAGGAGATCAGACTGCAACGTTGAACTTAGAGGGAGGTGTAGTAGAGATGATGAGCATAGAACAGTTTTTAAAGAAGCGTTAATTAAAGGATGGGATGACTAAAGGAGGACACATTAGAGGGACAAGTTTGTGGTGTGTTCTAATTTTTTTTTAATCGTCACCAGAGATATGTTTTTTTTTATTTTTTCTGATTATTTTAGAGAGAGAGGAAGGGAAGGAGAGAGAAAACATCAATCAGTTACTTCTCATACGAGCCCCCACCAGGGAATGAATCCGAAACAGGTGTGTACCCTAATCAGGAATTCAACCCGCAGCCTTCTGGCGTATGGGACCACACTCCAACCAACTGAGCCACCTGGCTAAGGTGTGGTGTGTTCTTTTTTAAGGTGGGAGAATAAACAGCCAGAAGAGGGAGTGGTTGGGGGTGTCAGGAGGAGTGGAGTGAATGAAGGAGCAGTTTCCCAGGTTGGAGGAAAGAGGACCAGGAGGACAGAGAGAACACAGCTTTCTGCTGAGATGGAGGGACTGGATGCAGATGAGTTCCCAGGGGGCAAGAAAGGACCTCGAGGAGTCCCTGTCCACGGGGTCCCTGTTTTCTCAGTAAAGTACAAGCCAAATCCTTTTCCAAGAATCAGGAGGGAGGAAAGCACCGGGGTCTGGAGTGGGAGAGGGTACAGACGAGGTTTGCTGGGCAGTGATGGGCCCAGCAGAGGGGGAGGCCAGGAACAGGACAGGGTCCAGACCCCATGCAGTGCGGGCTCCCAGCGGTGTGTGCATGAAAGCAGAGGGTGATGCCAAGGCCACGACTGGTAGGAGTTCTGGAGGACAGTTAGGGAGGCCAGACTCAGGGGTGAGGGTCAGTGGAGGGTATGGGGGATAAGAGAATGTTTAAAGCCAGGGATCCTGATACACAGGCTCGCCAAGCCTGGGCACACCACAGGCCTGGAGCTGCCAGTGGGAGAACAGCAGATCCACATCAGAATAAATGAGTAGAAGGGCTAAGCCGAGAGAGGGTCGTGGTCAGAGTGAACTTTTTAACCTAACATTTCGGAGGCAGAGCTAACTGTATGAGATTCCAGCATCCTGCAATCTTGCCACTGCCTCTGCAGCTGTGAGCAAGTTACTTCAAGTCTCTGGGCCTGTTTCATTTATCCTCCCGCCCCCCCACCCCCCACATGTTTTGTAAAATCCATCACTTTATACTAAGAAACATGTGGAACAAAGCAGACTTCACAAGAACTGCTATGTCCTGACTAACAGGAGTAGTAAATGTAAATCATACGACATTAGGCCAACATTATCATTGAGTTTATGGCTTATCTGACCTCCTGGCCTTTCTTCCTCCTCTTCCCCCTACTGTCCCCACTGTCTAATTTTGGGATCTCTCCTCACTGTCCAAAATAAACAGAGGACATGTTAAGTAGGCTAGGGGGAGAGATTACATGAACTTCAACTCAGCACTGATGAGTTAGAAGATCCAAGATAGTCTACAAACTATTAGGGCTAAAGTGAAAGTTGAACAAATGCTGCTAAATGTAAAATCAACATTTGAACATTAATAACATCCCCAAACACCACCGATCACATTAAAATGCATAAAAAATAAAAGCAGTTACAATAGTTACAAAAATTACAGAGACCCTTTTAAAAAGCTAACTAAATGTGACTCCTTTACTGAAAATTACCAAATATTGTTGAAGGACATAGAGGAGCCCTGAATAAATAGAAAGGTATGCCATGTTGAATAGTCATTCAATAAATATTTATGAAGCACCTAGAGCTGAGGACACAGAAGTGAACAAAACAGACAAAAATACCTGCCCTCACGAAGCTAACACGATGACGTGGATTATAGCTTAATCTACTTATTGAATGTGATCCTGATCAAAATCTCAACAGGATTTTTTAAACGAGATGAACTGACTCCAAAATCCACAAAGAAAAATCAGTGTCAAAACCCAGGAAAGTTCTGGGGGAAATTTACATGGAAACAGTGCCTGCATTACCAGGTATCAAGCAAGCTTGTCGCACCAACGCAGAGATAGAAAAATAAGATCAGCAGAAAAGTACTGAGCCCCCAAACAGACCCGAGTGGTAATGGCGAGTTAAAATATAAAAACGATGGCTCTGAAAATCACTGGGAAAGGCTGCACAACTCTCGGAATAGTGGGACAGCTGGCTATCAACATGGAGAATAACATGTAGATCCCCACACTTCACAGAAATATAAAAATAACTGCCGAAACCGGTTTGGCTCAGTGGATAGAGCGTCGGCCTGCGGACTGAAAGGTCCCAGGTTCAATTCCGGTCAAGGGCATGTACGTGGGTTGTGGGCGCATCCCCAGTGGGAGATGTGTAGGAGGCAGCTGATCAATGATTCTCTCTCATCATTGGTGTTTCAGTCTCTCTGTCCCTCTCCCCTCCTCTCTGAAATCAATAAAAATATATTTTAAAAAACAACAAAACAAAAAGTTTTTATATCTAGAATGTGGGGGAAAAAAGCTAAATAAAACTTTTAAGAAAAAGGGTAAGCCCATAGAGAAACAGATCAAAAATATAAACAGGCAACTCAGAGAGGAGAAAACCAGAATGGCTAATAAACATAGAAAGATCTTCATCTCTCACAGAAGGAAATGCCAAATATTTAGATGTTACTTCGAAACCATTAGATTAATAAAAGGAAAAGTCTGGCCGAAACCGGTTTGGCTCAGTGGACAGAGCGTCGGCCTGCGGACTGAAGGGTCCCAGGTTCAAGTCCAGTCAAGGGCATGTACCTGGGTTGCGGGCACATCCCCAGTAGGAGATGTGCAGGAGGCAGCTGATCGATGTTTCTCTCTCATCGATGTTTCTAGCTCTCTATCTCTCTCCCTTCCTCTCTGTAAAAAATCAATAAAATATATTTTTTTTAAAAAAAAGGAAAAGTCTGACCAAGCGTGAGGCTATGGAAAGCCAGGAGTTCACTTAAGGCGGGAGCATAAATTGGTACAACCAATCTGGGGAAGAACCTGTAAATATCTAGTAAAAGCAAGGAGAAGCACAGCCACAAGCCAGCATTATCGCTTCCACATAGATTTCCTTAAAAAATCTTGCACATGTACTTCCAGGAGAAAAGATTAAAAATGTTAATTGTTGCATTGCTAATAGAAGCAAAAAAAAAAAAAAGAAACAGTCTAAATGTTCATTAATAGGAGAATCCTATATAATAAAGAGCTAATATGCTAATTAGACCGAAGAGCAGAACAACCATTTGGAAGAAGCCAGCGCTTCGAGGGTCGAGGCAGTCGGGGCTATGAGGAGCAAGCCCCTTGCACGAATTTCATGCATCAGGCCTCTAGTAGAATAATAAATGACGAGCTAGAATACCAACTAGTAAAATGAATTAAGTACAACCAAATGCATCACAACATGAACAGATTTCAAAAACAATGTTGAAAGGGAAAGCTTTACACAGAATCATAGTCAACAGTATGATAGTATTTATCTACATCTTTAAAACACAGTCATCCCACATACAGAAGATGAATACCTATAATAAATAGTGACATGCGTAGGAGTGAGGAACAACAAATTCACAGCTATGGTTACTTCTAGGGAGTGAGGGGAAACAAACGGGGAAAAAATGAATCTGAAGCAAAAATATCCAAATATTTTTTATTTCTGATTTTTGGATCCATGAGTGTTTCTACTACTATTTTCTGTACTTTTTTGTCTTTTTTTTTCCAACCCTCTTCTTAACTCCAAGCAGAGGTTCAGAGGAAGAGAGAAATAAAACTGGGTAAGGTAAGATTTGGGGGGAATCTAAGACTTTCTACAGACAGTCCTGTTGTTGTTTCCCATCATTGAGGAGAATCAGAAGTTAGGTGGGCACAGTAAAGTCTCCACGTGATTCACACACTAAGACAGCGATGGCGAACCTTTTGAGCTCAGCATGTCAGCATTTTGAAAAACCCTAACTTAACTCTGGTGCCGTGTCACATATAGAAATTTTTTGATATTTGCAACCATAGTAAAACAAAGACTTATATTTTTGATATTTATTTTATATATTTAAATGCCATTTAACAAAGAAAAATCAACCCAAAAAATGAGTTCGCATGTCACCTCTGACACGCGTGTCAGAGGTTCGCCATCACTGCACTAAGACAACATCACAAGAAAGATACCAAGGCAGTTCTCTCACCTCTCGCACGTGTCTTTTCAGGTGCATGTATACACTCTGTCCAGTTTTTCGAAAATGTCTTTCAACGTGTTCCCTTCCAAAGGCCAAAAACGTATTCATGCAAACATAGAGTCCACCTTCAGAATTCTAGAAGAAAGAGACAGGTTACAACATTAGACAAGAACGCCTCACCGAGCAGTCTACTTACAGAGTACGGGAAGGGGAAGCAGGGCGAATGATGAAGACAAAGCCGGCAGGGCCACCTGGCTGTCAGTCATTGCGGTGGCCCCAGTGGCTCCACAGCCACCACAGTGGCCGTGCCGCCCCAGCCCGGGTTCCAGTGCTCCAGGACAACTGAGCATAGTCTCATAGCGTGAGATCCTCAGAGGCCCAGGGAAGGAAACGTGTTTGTCTGACTCTCCAAACTAGGGTAAATGACAATAAGAGACAGAAGGAAATTGGCAAGCGATCCAACTACCACCGCTGCAGTGATTTATCAGGCTACTTCCTCATCTGCCAATGCAATCTCCAGGAACATGCAGTTTCCTGTCAGCAGGATCTTCAAAGATACAGTCCTTTCTTTTTTTTTGGTTGTTGTTAATCCTCACCCTAGGGCAGTGGTCGGCAAACGGCGGCCCCTTGAGTGTGGCTCTTCCACAAAATACCACGTGTGGGAGCGCACGTACAGTGCGATTGAAACTTCGTGGCCACACTCAAGGGGCCAAAGAGCCACAGTTTGCCGACCACGGCCCTATGGTATATTTTCATTAATTTTTAGAGAGAGTGGAAAGGAGGGGGAGAGACAGAGAGAGAGAAACATGGATTGGTTACCTCCCACAGGAGCCCTGACCAGGGCTGGGGATCCAGCCTGCAACTGAGGTGTGTGCCCTTGACTGGAATCGAACCTGGGACCCTTCAGTCCACAGGCCGGTGCTCTATCCACTGAGCAAAACCGGCTACAGCAAGATATTATTCTTTGAAGATATGATTTTTGATGGTATCCATTGATCAATTATAATAATTTAATACATAAAAAATAATTTAATAAGTAAATGCTAGAGCAGGGGTGGGCAACCCCTGGCACACGTGCCAAACATGGCATGCCAGTAACTTTTGCTGGCACGTGAAACCCTCTCTTATAATCTTCCATTTACAATTGTGGATCCTTGTTCTCAGTGATGAATTTTGTTAAGTCTCATAATAAGAGTAGCCTGACAGATGAAAGTAGTAGCTCGTGCATATCTTTGAAGATCACGAAATATAAACCTGATGTAAAATCTCTGTCATCAGTGATGCAGCAGCAAAAGTCCCACTGATAATATCAAACGGAGTCATAAAGTTTTCTGTCGGACTATCAGTGTACATGTATACATTAAAAAATAAATGTATTTTTCATCATCATATACTGTGTTTTTGTCGCTCGAATGAATTTTATTATTTCTTCAAGGTTCTTCACACACATACACCTTAAGAGATATCAAGTAGGCATAACATGTTCTCAAAAAATTAGGGTTGGCACGCAGAAGAATTTTGAGTTAGAGATTTTGCTGGTTTTGGCATGCACTCACAAAAAGGTTGCCCACCCCTGTGCTAGAGGATAGAATTCTATAATAATCATAACTACATGTTATTGCATGTCTAGTATGTGCCAGGTGCTTTATATATATTATGTCTAATCCAAACAATACTGCAAGCTGCTTATTATTATTTCCACTTTAAAGTTTTTTTAAAAACTAAGGATAAGTCGCTTGCCCATGTTCACACAACTTGGGAGTGTCAGAGTTAAATCTGAATCTTCTTCTCTTTTCATCTCTCTATGCAATATTTCAAATATTATGTCATTATAGACATACTGCTACAATGAATAGTCAAAAATATTGTTCGCATTTTAGATACTTGAGTTTCTATCCCAGTCTCATCCCCCCTTTTCTCTCAATCTGCTTAACATGCTTCTCTGTAAACTTAGCATCTAAAATTAGCCATACTGCCTCACTGGGAGTGGATTTTTATTAAGATCCTGTTAGTCACAGCCCTGCAAATAAAACAAAGTACTTAAATGCCTGTCAGAATTGCCAACGAACATCTATCAAAATTCCTTACATTGCATTTTATAAAATTGATATTGAATTTTTGGGGTGGTATTGGTTAATAAAATTATATAGGTTTCAGATGTACAATTCTATAACACATTACCTGTATGTTATATTGTGGGTTCACCACCCCAAGTCAAGTCTCCTGTCATCACCATTTATTCCCCCCCCTTTATAATATCAAAACATACACTGATGCTCATTACCAATATATGAAAAATCATTTTCAAAGTTCTAATAGCTCAAGATTGATTATTTAAAAATTTTCTAATAAAATCCTCCAACATAGTATCTATGGTTTATAAGCCAGACATAAAGTCTTGACACAATGAGAACATTACAACAGCACTGGTTCAAACAGGTGCCTATTACTGTAGATATACATTGCAAAAGTCAAGGAGGAAAAGGCATAAAGAGGACATGATAGTCTATATGGAAAATCCTAACAAATATACAAACAACTAAAAATAACAACTAGTAAAACTAATACATGAATTTAGCAAGATAATAATATGATAGTTTAATAGACAAAAATCAATTTCAATTTTATATTCTGGCAACAAATACTTTCAAATGAAATTTTTAAAACTTGACTATAAAATAGCCAAAAACCTCAGAATTTTGTAGCTTGTGCTTCTGGACACATTTGTCCCTTAAATGAAATCATTTGAATAAAACTAGAAAAATTCTTCATATTACATTCATTTGATCAATAAGCTAGGTAAATATTTCCAAAAGATTTTTTTAAATAATAAACATATTCTTTTGCATAGTCATAACTCTTAAGAAAATATATTACATCATCATAATGGTTAGTTATTCATTAATTCTATTACATGGAGGAACACATATTGTGATTTTTTTTTAAAAAAAAACTTCCATTCTCTTTCAATAAAATGTAATTCTGTTCTAAAGAAGGAAAACCAGAAGATACACTGGGAAAAACTAAGGCAGGTGGTTATACAGGCTCTGAGCGTCAGTATCTACCTCAGTACCAATAATCCCACCTCAAAGGGTTTCATGAAGGTCAAAGAAGATGAAACACATTCCGCGCTGTAGTGCATTACATAAATATTGGTTATTATTCATTGTAAGCTAAAAGTCCTGTGTGCTACATGCATCTCCTATTATCTCAATTATTTTATAAGGGGGAAGCAAGCAGATGGAAGAAAAAAGTGAATCTGACCGCCACCCAGGCTAGTGGTAACAAATATTAATCTGTCAGAAAAATACATTAGGCAACTAGCGGGAGAACCAAAAAAGTTACTAAACAGAAGAAAAAAAAGGTTTAAGTGTAGACTAGCTACATAATGCAAGAGTGTATGGTCTCTAAAATAATCAGAAAGTCTTTTTTTTTTTATTTTATTGATTTTTCACAGAGAAGAAGGGAGAGGGATAGAGAGCTAGAAAATATTCATTCTCAGTTTCTGGAGTCATTTGATATTGTCACCGAGTCCATAATCAAAGAGAAATATGCTATGGCACTCATGCCCTTGACCGGAATCGAACCTGGGACCTTTCAGTCCGCAGGCCGACGCTCTATCCACTGAGCCAAACCGGTTCGGTGAATCAGAAAGTCTTTGCTAATTTCATTGCCAAGGGTTTTTGACTTATTAGGGAATTTGATAAAAATGTAACATACCAAATATTCATTCTCAATTTCTGGAGTCATTTGATATTGTCACCGAGTCCATAATCAAAGAGAAATATGCTATGGCACTCAGAGACGAATGGCCCCACGTAGGGAAGGATTCTATGACCAACTCACTCAGGCATCTTCCATCACACACGGCCTGACCTCTGAGGCATCGTATGCCCCTCTGCTAGCAGCTCTGAGATGGAGGCACCACCCAGGGAACTTGCCAGTAATTCTAAAAATTCAGGACACACTGAGACAGACAACACTTTCAAAGTTACCCCACACAGAACAAAGTGTACAGTCTAATGATGTGCACTTTCTTCCCTCTCGCCTTACTAATGTCTAAATATTAATCCCATAAAGACACTTTATTTCACATCCACAGTCAACGCTCCATGCCGTGTAGAGTTTCTTTCACTATTGAGGACAAGTCTGCTGACAAATCTCTCCCAATTCCTTTGTGACCAAAGCACAGAGCACGGCTTGTAGCCTGGGATCAGAGATAAGCTGATTGACTTTTGAGGTTTTCGAACCCTCAACCCCATCCTCTCATGAACCAGCCACACCCCACGAAAATCACTGCTTCAAGAAAGCACCATAAAGCGCTTGCCTTCATGGGGCCAGAAATGCAGCAAGCCATCGGGCAGGGCCTTCTGCACAGGCGCTGTGCTAAAGCTGAGGGAATAGGCTCCCATGGTGGCTTTTGTAATGAGGCCAGCAGAGTACACACAAGATCAGTAACTGCACTAGACAGTAAAGACCAGGGTGAACCTCTTTCTTAATGTCCAATATCCTTTGTCTTAAGAGTTCGTGCAATATGTCTTCAGAAGAAATAGAAATTAAACAATTTTTTTAATCAGGCAGGTTTAGGGAACTGTACTGACAGTGAAATACAACTCAAAGAATAAGAGGAAAGAAATCAAAACGATATACTTTTTTCAAGTCATGGTGGTAGAGTGCTTTATTAAATAGATTACAAATGACATTTCTATATATTGGGTTAACTTTTGAAATAAATAGTAGCATAACAATGGAGATTCCAAAAATATATTCATTTCATATGGCAAAAGCTCTTAATATGTCAAACCCAAAGAATGAGGGGGAAATCACTAATCAAAGTTACTGTTACATTGACACTTCAGAATTTAATCTAGAGCCACATCTTACACCAAACACTCTAATAAGGTTCCGCTAGATCCAAGAGGTCACATTTTAAAAACTAGGAAAGAGCAGAATAGCATATTCACCCCACTTGTAAAGGGGACAATAACTTCTAACCAAAAAAATACAGAATCGCAAAAGAGATGGCATAGCTGAGTACAGATATATAAACACTAACAACAAGTTTTACACCACAAAATATAATGAAACAAATAGAAAACCAACAATAACAGCATAGGTAAAGCTGTAGGACGATG